TAGCGAAATGTGGTTTACTTCGAATTACTTTCGACCGGCCAAACTATCAACGGGAAATACTATTTGATCGCCATTGGAGCGAAGCTTTCGTAAAAAGAGATCGGACTCAACTCTTTGGTTTTGGTGGTTTATGCACCACTATAAAGCAACGTCGCAATTGTCTTGATTCTTTGTGAATTTTTTCTTTCCCAAATTTTCAACCAATATCACGCTGCAACCTTCGTGTCCTTCTGATTCAGCTCCGTGTAGTACCTGGCTATTCAATGAACGACCACTCCGAGGAACCGTTATGAGTCAATTGAAGACATATTGAAAGAATTAACTAATTCGCTGTGAAGTTTGGTAAATCCTGTTAAACACGTAAAGCATTTATATAAGCAAACAAGTATGTATATGTTAGGTCAAGGGAAATACCACTAGGGAATCCCTTTGACGCTAAACAGTAACAGCGAATGGGTTTTTATAATAAGTAGTAAGTAGGGCCTAGTTGAACAGAAGTGAGCGAAGCCTCCGCAAAGAGGCCAAATGAGTTCGTTTTATGTTCTAAATGATAAAAAATGTTGCTTTGAATTTACAATATATTAATTATATATATTTGTTCCATGTATACCATTCATATTGAAGTTTGTAAATATTTACTTAAATAATGTGGACGAGTGCAATAACCATATCAGAAGTAAAATATGCAATCGGCAGTTAGACATACTATATTCTACACGCTGTAACCCATTTCATTTTGGCAAATATTATTCAGCTATATTAATATAGTTTTTCTTTATTTTCGAATGTTATTTAAAAAGTGTTCACATATTTACCTATCTACAAATGATTTCACTACCATACTGATGCATATAAATTTATTTGCACTTTTCTTTGGAGGCACCTTTTTAATGCGAAAAGCAAATATGTATAAAAAGTTCATGAATCAGAAAAATAGTTATGTTTGCATTTACGATTTACTTTTCACACATTATATCCGCACAGTCATATGTGGGGAAAACACACACACACACACACACGTACCATCAAAACTGCAGCCTTTCACTGCAGTCACGCACACCTTTCTCTAACCGAAAGTCTGGGTACACGCGCCCTTATTACAACCAATGCTGCTTTGCCTCAGCGCTATCCTCACGCGAGTGCGAAAGCCACGAGGGCTAACGCTGACCCTCTCTCAACGTCCTTCAGCGATGCGCTTCCCGCCAAAGTGCCGCGCCTTTGTTGCAGCTGCAACAAAAACCAAAACAATTCACCGCTACACCCCGCATACGTCTTCTTGTACACACACGATCCTATTGCGATTTCGTGTTGCAGTTAATGAGTCTGCAAAGTGCAGCGCTGTAACGCACTCGCCACTCGACACGCTTTCTTCGCAGCAAACGCGAAGTTAATATATGGCAGTAAACAAGGGAGAGAGTGAAAATTATTTAAAAAAAAAAAACAAGCGAAAGCGAGCGAATTTGAGAGCAAGAGAGAGAGCTAGAAGTCATTCTTATATAAAGTAACGCATACGCTCGCGTGCTCCTCTTTACAACGAAGTGTTGATTGTGAGCAAACCGAAGCTGCGAGTGGGTGTTTGGTGTGAGTATTTTCTGAGCGTAAGGACTACAAAGTTAAGGAATATGAGCATACAAGTCTGAGAGAGATAAAGAGAAAATGACTTTTATAGTGAAAATGGGAGATACAAAGAGAGTAGAGAAATGTATTCGCAATATTTTCAGAGAGTATGTATGCTATCGCAATTTATACCCTCATTGTCAGAGCGGTCACTTTTGGTACTGTCTCCTACTTTTTTATATTGCTAATATAAGTCAGAGTTAAATTCCCACTAAAAAGATTCTTATACCACGCCAGCACATAAAAGATATAGGAAGATATTATGATATAGCAATTTAAATTTGTATACTCTTACAATAGTAGGGTATATTAGTTTTTTCATCTCACGGTTGTTTGTATCACCTCGAAATAATCGGGATAGGTATAGGGTTATATATCTTCTTTTTTCTTAATTGGCGTAGACACCGCTTACGCGATTATAGCCGAGTTAACCACAGCGTGCTAGTCGTTTCTTCTTTTCGCTACGTGGCGGCAATTGGATATTCCAAGCGTAGCCAGGTCCTTTTCCACCTGGTCCTTCCAACGGAGTGGAGGTCTTCCCCTTCCTTTCAGAGCTGGAGTGTTTTTGGACAACATGACCTAGCCAGCGTAGCCGCTGTCTTTTAATATGCTGAACTATGTCAATGTCGTCATGTATCTCATACAGCTCATCGTTCCATCAAATGCGATATTCGCCGTGGCCAACGCGCAAAGGACCATAAATCTTTCGCAGAACTTTTTTCTCGAAAACTCGCAACGTCGACTCATCAGTTGTTGTCACCGTCCAAGCCTGTGACCTGTTGGCTAGAGTTATCCTGCGTTTAATTTCCAGTCTGACATTGTTGGTGGTGTTTACGCTGGTTCCAAGATAGACGAAATTATCTACGACTTCAAAGTTATGACTTTCAACAGTGACTGAGAGCCAATTGGCGAGTGCGACGACTGTTTGTTTGATGACAAGAGATATTTCGTCTTGCGCTCGTTCACTGCCAGATCCACCTGCTTTGCTTCCTTGTTCAGTCTAGAGAAAGCAGAACTAACGACGCGGGTGCTGAGGCCGATAATATCAATATCATTATATATATATAGTATAAACTAACAGGATGAAGAGAGTCTGTCTGTCTGTCCGTCCGTCCCTCCGTGAAAGCTGTAACTTGGGTAAAAGTTGACATATCTGGATGAAGTTTGAATCCGCACCGCTTACGAAACTGTAGATGGGCGTAATAGGACCAGTCTCACAAAAATTTATAAAGTGCCTTAACTAAGCTCCACAATATGATACAATACTGTTAATGTTGGGCGTGGCACCGCCCCAATTTTGTTTGAAACCGCATACATAACTCCGGACCTTTTAGAACAATTGAAACCAAATTTGGTAGATGACATTATCTTGAAAATGAGCAAAAGCGGTCGGCAACCACAATTCTTCTATCTTGAGTTTTGCTGAAAGTTGCATTAAGGTCTGGTCTGGAAACTTGTGAATAATACTATTTATTCATCGAAGAGGGAACGTATTCGGTGACAAGAATGACTTCACTTTCGAAATATCATTATTGTCTAGTATGTGAGATGTCGCTCGGCAACTACAAGTACTTTTTTTTTTCTTTAGTTTAGCTTAAGTTTAAGGTTACAATGTTACGTTAAGGTCTTGTCTTGCGAATAATGTTATTTATGTATTGAAGAGGGAATGTAATGGTTGACTAGAATGACTAGAACTTTTGAAGGATAATTCTTTTCCAATATGTGAGATCGGTCGGTAACCATTATTCTTCTATCTTGAGTTTAGCTGAATCTTACATGAAAGCCTGGCTTGGAAACTTTCGAATTATGTTATTTTTGAATTTAGGGGAGAATATATTCGATGACAAGAATGGCTAAACTTTGGGAAGTTAATTCCTTTCCGATATGTGAAAAATTTAGCTCATAAACTTGACCCATAAATGAAGTAAACTAAAATCAGTTAGGCAATTTATAAATGCTTCGAATATTTGTTTTATTCAGTTGATTGTTCTGCAAAGAGCTTCTATATTTGCAAACGCATTATGTTGTGAAATTAGTTATAATTAAAACCTCTCAAATAATGGTTGTTTGGACATACTAACTGAAGATTAGTTGAAGCTTACGCTAAGGGCTGGTTTAGAAATCTTCGAAAAATGCCTTTTTTAAATTGTGAGGGTAATGTGTTTTGTGACATGAATGACGAAATTAGTGATTGATATGCCTTTTGTATTATTAGAGTCACTTAGTTATTAGATGGCTTCTGATTCTAACTAGAAAGCCCTATATATAAGTATGAGATATTCTAAGGGCAAAAACTTAGCTGATATTTATAGTATACGAATTCGAGTCTACAGGACACTTCATGTTGAATGCCGAACTTAACTTTAGAGCAACAATAAATTGAACTCTTTAAATTTATTTCAAATAAAAGCTTTTCAAAATAGAAGACAACCACAGTACATCCTATAATAACGTTGGCTATACTCTAGTTATTGTGTTGTGTTTGGCATTTGTGTTCTCTGTGCTCTCTTATTGTTATCGACATAGACAACTAGATGTTGTTGCAACTGCTGTTGCCTCACAGGAATATCCGCAATGCCAACCGAGTACGACACAATCTTACATATACATATATGTGTCTAGGTTTATCGTGCACTCACGAAGGAGTTTCGTGTGTCGCATGCACATTTCCCAAGCCAGCAATTTGTGGCAAGTTTCAGTTTGTGGCAACCAACGAACGAGAGCAGTTCGCAACAGCGGGTAGAACAAACGGTCCAATAACAGTTCAACAACAACGCACTAGGGCAAACAGCACTTGCTGCAAGCAAGCAAGCAGAAGTGCAGGCCGAGACCGCAAATTGGGAGCATCAAGGCAAAGTAGCTGAAGTAAAGTGCTGCTGAAAAACAAATTCAGTTATAAAGTTAAACAAACTACTAAATAAAATAAAATAAGTTACGTGTAAGTGGTGTAAACAACGTGCATGTTGTGCAAATAAATTTGACTCCAGATACAGACAATATTCTCTGACTTCGACAAAAAAAAAGTCGCGAAAATCTACAAACAACATATGTGTGAAATGCATTGAATAGTTTTAGGCAGCGTCTAGGAAGTAGAAAGCGTTTCCACTTAGTAAGCGCTGGAGCTTAGGTATAACTCTGCGGTGAAATCTTTTTCTTACACTTAGCGGTTGTGCGTATATTTGTTGGCATTTTAAACGGCTTACTTTCGCAAGTAAATATTTGAAAGGCAACGTAAACACTAACGACAGCAGAATCATTGTCAGCCTAACTATTGTGGCGACAGCGGCAGCGGCAGCACAGCCAGCCACACCATAAGCAGCAGGAAAGGCGCCTACAACCACAACGCAGGCAACAACGACGGCAGCGACGATAACAACCGACGCTTGAAAATGTCAACACTTCCGTTTTTGTTGAGCGTAGCCGATGAGCTCGATAACCTCAACTCACAGTCGTACATGGACGACTTTGGGCTGGGCTTCCATCCGCATCGCCAATACTATCGCACGCCCACCATACAATTGTCCTTGCCCGCCAGCACCGACTGGATGGAGAATGAGCGTTCGCAACGCTGTCGCTCACACAAATTCGTCTTCGAAACACAAAACAATCTAACCGCCACGGCGGAGGGTGACGAAACGGACACCACTGATGAGACGGGCAATGGTGGTGGACGCAGTGGTGCTAGTGGCGCGCTGGATGCTGGCACCGGTGGTATGGGTACAGATAATGCGTACACCGAGCGCTATGGCAGTGGCGCAAGCACTTCGGCCGCCAGTCGCCAAAAGTATACGTCGCTGCTGAATTCCAATGATGAAGATGGCAATGGTAAGGGCGGCGGCGTTGGTAAGCGTAATGAAGCTGACGGCATCGACAATACGGTGCAAATGTATAATTTGTCGAAGAAGTGTTGCAAGAATTACTATCGACGCGGCGATGAACCGACGTCAGGCGCAATGGCGGCCAAAGGGAAATCCGCTGAGGGCGGCTATCGTTTGCATGCCAAGTGCATGGAGGGCGCCAACTCGTCATCGGACGAGAGTTTGCAGAAGCCCACATCATCCATAGAGTTTTTGACGTGCTTCCTGGTGAAAAAGTCGCGCGCACCCAAAGGTGCGGGCATTAGCGGCGGCAGCGGCAGTGGCAAGAAATCGTCGTAGGACACGGTTTCGAAGCGTCGCAGTCATTGTTTCTGAATGTGTTGTTGGGGGGTGGAGGATGTGCAGGAGGGCGCTGTAGCGAGACGCAGTTGCGGGGCTTGGTTGGGTTGTTGGCGCAGCACTTGCTGCGGTGAGCTTGAAAGTCAATGAAGTAATGGCAGCTGAGGTCAGGTGAAGGCGAGGCGAATGTGGCGAGATTGACGATTGGCGTTAGACGACTGCCGATTTACGCAGTCAAGCGGTTGTAATGTAGCGCAACAACAATGGACAGTGGCAACGACAAGCTACTATACTTTCACACTTTGTTTGGCAATGAGTTGGTGAAGCTGTCAAGGATAAACTGCAAGGACTTCGAGTTGCTGGCGCGCCTTGTGGGATTATTGCAACAAAGCGTTGTTGCCGCTGTTGTTGGCGTAGCAAATGCGTAGTAGCAAAGTGCAACAAGACGATTTCCATGCATTTGTAATGAAAGTGTAACATGCAAACGCAAGTAATTTATAAAATTTGCAAGACATACGTATATGCCTGTACTTGACACACATACAGACATATGTATACTCCCATACAGTAAATAAAAAAATAAATCTAGTTGTAAGTGCAATTATTACGAAAACAATTAAGTTATGTTAAATGAAAAAAATAAACCAAACATAAACATAACAGTAACTATAACGGTAATGCGTGTTAAGTGAATGTGGAAGCAAAATATTCAATTGGTGCCTAAATGTTAGTTTCGTAGTGTAGAAAAAAATCCATATTGGCCAGCAGCAAACTAGCAGTTAGCTAACGGCTGAGCAGTTTTCTCGTGAGTCTCGTAAATTTCGAGACATATATGCTTAACGAATGCATTTGTATGAGTTCTTAGTGGCAGTAACTCTGAAGAATGGTTGATGAACTAGGCAAAAGTTTATTTATTAATTTTTTTCGTTTCCAAAAAAATATTTTCGAAATCATGTTTTGTGCATAACAAACCTTGCACTGTAAAATGTTTTAAGAGCTCTTATATATTGTACAATGGAAGGCAAAATATTTAATTACTAATTTATTTTGTCGCCTTCATAGTAACTCCCAGCAGATCTAATATACTTATTTCAACCAGTCCTCGAAACATTTTTCATTAGCACTTTGTCGGATGGCCTTCCGCTCCTTCAGCGAATTTGGTTTTATCTCTTTAATCGACTGAAATCCGATTGCATTGCTGACTTTTTTGCTTGTTAAACTCATAAAACCGGAATTCGCGCTATGAAGCAATCAAGCATGTCTAAAGAGATCTGTTTACGGTACACTTTTTGAAAAAAGTTCAGCTTTATTGGATCGAGTCGAGCAAGAACGCGTTTCATACCTATTCTGGGACTTTTGAACGGATTTTGGTTAAAAATTCTAAATTTGAGAAAAATTCTTTGTTCGATATTTTTATCCATTGCAAAACTCGCAACGCACTACTACTGAGGTGTATGGACATTTGCAACTGCTGTAAATAAGGACAGCCCTACCAACTTAGCAATATACATTTTTTTAAGTATTATTTATACGGAGAATTTAATTACATACTATTTCCGGGTGCCTGTTTTGTCACAATGCAAGCAAAGTTCCGGAACTTCATTCATTATATATGCCACACTAGTTTTTGGGTTGAAGTGTTTAGTTGTCTGCGAGAATAAAAAAAGCCGTAATAATTTTCCCAGTGCTTGTTGGATCATTGTCTTTTTGGAGGATCCCATTAGTAACGAATTTCATAGTGAGGTTTTCAAATTATCTTTCGGCTTTTCGTGGAACGATTCGTATTATGCTTAAGAAGGACTAGCCTTCCTGGTTTCACAGGTCGAAGCATCTTTTTCAACCATTACTTTTCCCATTTTGCTGTACAGTTTATGGTATGCTTATTCTTTGAGTTTCGCAAGGCTAACCGTAGCGTCAATACTAAATCTCATTTCATAAAAATAATTAGGCTCGCAGTAGGGCACTCGCTGAATGTAGTCTGTGTACGCAGTCTTATAAGAAAATTAAAAGGTTTATTTTGAAGCAATGAAGTTTCTAGAGGCAAAAGGAAACTTAATAACATTATGAGATTTTCATCATCGGATACGTACCCCGAAGTTCCAGATTTTAGAAATTGGGAATAGCAGGCGCGGCAGACAATGAGACGCTGGAACAATATCTATTAAATCCGCATAAGGCTTAAATTGGTTACTACCCGAGTGCATAGTAGATCTAATGATGTCCTAAGTATGGCTGCCTGCAGTCTAGCGCTCATGCGCCTCCTTCACAAACAAATCAAACCATGTTTTTTGGATTAAATTCTTGGTTAGTTTGTTGAAATCTATCCCATTTTATTTATGTTCTTTGCCTAATAATGACGAAATTTGTGTTTTTTTTTCAAAAATTAGCGTCTTGCTTGGTGTTCTGATGGGGAGCCGCTTATCGAGTTGAGACCTTTGTGTCGTTGTTAGAAATATACTCTTTTGTAATGAACTTTTGTAATGAGCAACGCAGCTTATTTTCGTTAAAACCACTACTTTCGAAATTAATGGAGTTAAATCTTGCTATATGTAAATACTTTTGTCAATGCAATTTTTGAGTTTTTCTTCCATAGTTTTGTTTCATTTTAGTAAATAATGCATTACATTATTCCAAAAACTTTGTTTTTTACTTCAAGAAGCACATAAGCTTGTCCTTCATTCAGATAGTTTTTAGTATCTTAGCAAAATTTCGGGCTTCATTCATATTTATAAAAAAGAAATACATGTGCTGGAAAGTTCTTAGTCGAAAGATCACCACAAACATAAAAATCAGTATACAACTTAAATTAAAAACATTTCATATCGTATTCGCAAAGTTGCCTGGCTTTTCATCAAGTGGGTCTCAAATTTTTTATATACTCATATCAGCAAATGATAAGGATTCTTTTCGACAGTATATTAGCTGAAGATGCTTGGAGATATTTCAGTATGACAATAAGTATTTTGCTCTAATTTAAAAGCTCCTTTTTATGGAGTTCTTCGAGCAGGCTTTATCAGCAACGATATATGTATATGTATGTAAATAATGCCTTTGGTGGTTTTTGTGGCAAAAGGGAAGGAGCTTGGATTACTAAACAAGTTTTGGGTACATATTCTTTAATTCTAAAACAAGTTTTTTTGTTGCTTTATTGTCACTAAAACAATATTGTTATTGATAGCTTTATTGGTTTCTATTAAGTTAGTATTTAAGTAGTTACATAGACCGAGGGCTACAATACGCCTCACCAGATTCAGGAGCATGAGTTTTTTCACACTTATGCACAATATTCATATTTATTCATACTTTAAGTTATCATGGTATAGTAAAAATCATTATTTCTTTACGATAATGCTTGTTGTTGTTGTATTACCAGATAAAACTCTGGTTTCGTTCCGGTTACGTAGACCCGACTATCTTTAGAACGGATCATAATGCTTGATAAAATAGGTGTGTGAAAGGTGAATTTAGGACAGAGTATGGTTAGAAGGTCTCAAATGTGGGATTGGGATCACTTAAGTTATATCCACTCTCCGATATTGTTACACGTTTTCGATAAACTATTCGATATAGAGGTAGGAATGATATTTTTACCTTATGAACTTTTTTGAATGAGGCCATCCAAGATCTATACGCATTAACATTAAGCTTCTCAGTGTTCATTTGTTCTAATCAGATATGTATATTTTTCTCAATCTTTCTAAGGATATAATTTTTTGAAGAAAAGGAGCCATGTCTGGCTCTTTACGAACGCGGTTACGAGAGCAATTATCTGCGTGTCTTCCGGTTTAGTCGAACTTGCATGAGGCTGGTCATACTACATTTTTTTTTTTTTAATTTACTACATATTAATTTACACTCCTGTTAAACTTTTGAAACGTTTTATGATTCTCGAAAATACCATTCTGTACGATATTATTGCAGCACTTTATTAGATCTTCGAAACAAAAGTTCTATAATACTCCAATTTACACGACAATTTCGAAGATTAGATTTCCAATCGTAGTTTTCAGTTTGATTTTAATTTATAACACCTTTATATTTAGAGAAGTGTTTTAACTTTTCAAAACTAGACAGACTTCAAGAAGTTTATTATAGTATGGATGATTTGTGGAACTTTGTATGCTAAGAATTGATGTTCGGTAGCAGTTTCCTGTTTATTGTTGCAGCAAATTATGTTGTTGCTTTTATTATTATAAATTTATCATTTGAAATCGTACAAGCAACGGAGAAGACTTCGGCGTATTATTTTCAACTATTATACTCTCAGCTTTCCTTTCCTTTCATATTTGTGGTCAACCGCTTGAAGTAACAGAAAAATAACGAAATGCCAGTTAAATAATAAACCGAAATATGCATATTTGACATGCTACATTTTTTAATAAACAAAACAACTAAATTAAAATAAAGAAATTACAATAAAAAAGATAATTTTTGTACCTTTTTTTATACCAAGAACCAGATACATGTGTTTTTATACCAACAAATAAGAGAATTTAGAGCAAACAATTGCGTCGTAGATTTAAGTCGCAAAGTCAAGTTTAAGTGCACTCAATGGAAAAACAAAAAATAAATAAATATTAATTCTTATATAAATAAGCAAATAAAATAATGACATCATACAAGTATATGTAATCAAAGCGTTGCAGTAGTTGAAATGCCTAGAAATTAGGGTCAATGTAAGCGAGCATTAATATTAAGCTTGAATCTGCAAAAGACAGCAGACATAACGGTGTATATGCATTTGCAATTACAAAAATATATAATACATATGTATTATATATAGACAAAAGGATTTGAACAATGAAGATCTAACTGGGACATTGCATTGCTTTGAGGGAAGACGGGAGCAAGGATGTGTATTTAGAAAGGCAGTTGAAGGCAAGGCATGAGCCGCCAACCTTGTTTCCTTTAAAGGATACGTAGACATATTATGTACGTATGCATGTGTAATTGTATATGTATGTATTCGTGTGTATGTGTATATATATATATATAATTGT